AAATTATGATTTCTATGTTAATTTTAATAATATATATATGTTATAATAATATTATGTTAAAATTTTTTTCTAAATATCGTAAAATATAAGTCTTATGTCTCATTCATCATTCATTTCTTGTAACATCGATAATAATAATAATAATCGATAATAATAATCAATCGAAGATATAATAAAAATCAAAGATCAATGTTTTATTTTTATCCTCAACAAAAAACGAAATTGCAATCAAGATATTTGTATCGGAGAACATTACAAAGATAGAAAAATTAAATTTGTTTAATTTGATAAAAAAAAAATTTCAAGTTTCAAATATATAAATATAAATATTTCAACAAATACAATTTAAAAAAAGATTTTATCTCATATAAAAGAATATAATACATACCAAAAAACTAAAACAATTATAAATGAGAATTTTTATTTCAGATAATTTTCAAATTGATAAATTTCATTTTAAATCTATATATGTAAAAAAGATTGTACTATATAAATCATGTTTATATGTCCAATTAAATTTTTTTATTTATTATAACAAAAATTAATTAAATTTATAAATAATAATCAGAAATGAATTAGTTTAAAAATTTTTTTCAAATGCTCATAAATTTCCTAATCAGTATAAATATACGAATTTTCATTCCCTTTATAAAATCAATTTCCCTTTTACAAAATAATATATTAGAATGAAAAAATGAATCCAATCTTTATAAAAGCAAAAATTCTTAAAGTTTATAGTTACAAGAAGTATTAGAATTTCAAAAACACAAATAATTCAAAATCAGAATAAATAGAAATCGAATCTTATTTGACATAAATTTAATCAGTCCTTTTCAGAACCATTAATATTATAAATGATTTTAAAAAAATATATAAATGCAGTTTTCCTATCGATTAGATTACAAATGATCAATTGATATGTTGATAAAAAAAATTTTTGCAGAGGAAAAATTGAAATTATTTTAAAAATCTTCAGTTGAATTATGTTCTCATTTTTTTTTTTTTTTAATATTTTGTATACTAACAATACAAAAATTTAATCAAACAGAATTTGTTAACATTTTTAATTAATAAGTTAAGCAAAAAAGACAATAAAGTTTATTAAATATTAAGACTGCCTCTTGAATACAAATTTTGTAGATCACATACAAACAAGAAGATAAATAATAGAATAGAATAAAAATAAGATAAGAATTAGAGAATTGGCGCCATCTATAGAATATTGTAGAACATAAAAAGAGATAGAAAAAGATAGAGATTGATTATCAACGCCATCTCTTGAATAGTCAAAATATCTTTCTCAAATCACTCAAAAGATAACGCTTTTCAATTTTATTTTATTTTATCTACTTATTTTACTATTTTTGATGAAATGTTTTTATGAATATTCAAGAAATTGTGCTGATAGTTAATTCTTACTAAATTTATTTATTATTTATTTTTTTCATTATATAATAGTTTCATTTCCAGCATTCTAAAGATGGCGCTGATTTCATAATTTCTAATCCTTAGATTTTAGATCATACATCCAAGAAGTTATACCAAATATTTAATCTCTTTTTAGATATGATATATATCTAATCTAATTAGATATAATATTATAGATAAAATATAATAATAAAATTATAAATTTGACATTAATGTCGAATTCATTCTACTATAATTTATATTTAAAATAAGCCATATTTTCTACTAACGATCAAAGAAATTTCTTTCTTTACAATTGGTCATCATGAGAAAAACAAGAAATTTTAACTAGTTACTAGTAAACTTTTCTTTCTTAATAAATTGTAATTGAGAAAACGTGGTAAAAGTCATCAAAATGCAAGTACCTCCGATTTTTATGGAATTACCCTTAGAAGATCAGGTAATTAATAATGAAGTTCTATTACATATTTAAAACTCTATAAAATTATATATTCAAAATACAATTAGATACCGCAATTTTTTTATTATATTCTTTAAATTATAGGTTATTTTAAATTTTCTATTATTATTTTATTTATACATTTAAAAAAAAATAAATGCAATCATAAAATATAATTGCAAAAGAATTTTATATATATATATATATATTTATACATTTATATATATTTATATATTACATTTATATACATTTATATATATATATATATATATATATATATTAATATAATATTAATA